AAATACGAAAACTTATATATAAAAGTAGGTATACTTGCAGAAAATATAAAATCATGATATATCTCACTTTTATATTGGTAAATTTTCAAATTTTAAAATCAAAATATTTGTATAATTTTTTTTTATATATATTATATTTGATTGACTCATAATTGAACAATGTAATTGATTTATGAACCGTCTCAAGTAAATAAGTTTAAAGAACAAAAAAGAAACTTTACAAATACATCATAACACTGTTTTACTTATTTTTCAATATTTTTAATATGATTCTTATACAACCATTTTCTAATATCATAAACAACCATTATCACAGCTAAGTATAAAACCTCAAGTTCTTTTAAAATAAAGTAAGTGACTTTATTTATTCTATCGAAAATAGAAAATCTAGAAAATTAATTGGCAATTAGTACCTATTAATTAGTAAACATTGTGCAATAAGTAATGGCGTTATTACCGACGCTTATTTTAGAATAAATATCAGCAAATGTAAAATAGAGAGATGGCAGGGGTAGAATGTATAGTAAAAACTGCAAAAATTATGAGTATGAGACTTCATTTTCTAGATATATAACAAATTTACGAGTTCATTTGTTGTGGTTTTGGTTTCTGACTATATAATTTTGAATTGCAAGATATAAAAGATTCCATTAGTAGAATAATATAACTACAGTATCATGCAAATGTGAAACTGTATTAATGGTTCTTACGTTGAACTCTATTTTTTTAATATTCTTACGTAGAATGCACTTATACATACACGTATACATAGAATGGAAATATTTATTTAGTGCAACATGGTCATAGTCACATAAACTTTTGTCGATTATAAATATCTTGCATGGTTTATGTTCCTCACATTTGACTAATATACTATACTTTGATCAATATAATTTCCATGGAAATAAAACATTCTTTGAAAAATATCAACGACATAATAGAAATCCAGATCCCTCTTTAAAAACTCCAAATTATAATGATGAATGTAGTCCGTTTTTAAGTATTCTCTTTCAATAAGGAACAATATAGTAGAGTAGCGCCATTGTTAACAAGCAAACAGTAAGTTATAGTTTGCCATTTCAAAATTTTATCAATTAAATAGGTGTGTGCATGCTTCACCACCCTGGGAAAAATATTATCATGAATTACAGTAGATGTAAAAGAATTACAAAACAAATCATAGAATTTCTGCTTACAAGTCTATTCCTTTAATTCTATTTTCACCCTCATTAATTTAAGCCAAATATCGGATAAATAATTAATTTGAATGAAAGGGTTTTTATTAAGTGACGTTATTTAAAAAATATATAATCATACTCTCAAATTTGACTCTTAGTCGTATATGGTTTTATATTTTTGTTTATTTTGTACTACATAAAATTTACCCGAGACCTTTAAGAAGGTTTTGTTTTTGATTTCACTTCTTTTGTGTCTGAAGATTTTAGAGCGATTTATATAAATACAGAACAAAGGAATAGTTTAATTGATGTCTGAGAATATTCTCCAGACAGCTTAATAGTGACTTAAAAGTATAATAGTGAAAGCATTATTTTTATAGTAACGAACAATAACGAAATTTTACTTTTACTTTTACTCACTCAATAGGTCTGCGACTTTTTAAATTGTTTTCATTTATTTTACTCTCATAATTTAAAATATAATAGTTTTAATTATACATCATAAAGTAAATCACTATTTAACTTAGACTTTCAGAAACATCAAATAATATTATAATTTTATTAAAATATATAGACTCAATGATCCCTGTTTATAATTTATGTTTTAAATAAATCTCATAACTTCAAAACGTCGTAAATTAAAGAATATTTAGACTTTATTTGACAGAAAGTTTCATTACAATATGATTTTCCGTATTTTATTATGAAATTTATTTATTATTAGGTTATATTTGTCTAATTATTAACATGCTTCTTTATTATTTTATAAGACATCATATAGACATATAGACATCTGTTCATAACTGTCACATAATACTAAGTGGTGGTTCTAGATTTTGGATTATTTGTTTCTTTATATAATTTCTTAGTACTGGACTGACATATTTATCTTGGGCTTGTTATTTTATACACAGGAAAACTCAATTTAATGACTGTATAATAAAAATATATTTTGTTCTTCAATGAAAATATCGGGTATCTTTTTATTATTTATGTAATATAAAATAACAAAAGTACAGTCGATCAAAATAACCGAGTGTGTTAGCTGCTTAGCCAAGCGGTATGTACGAGGCAACCACGATTGTCGGGTCGCTTTTGCGGGGGCAGGTAAGTGAATGGAAGGCAAAGTTGTTGTAATTCCAGACTTATTTTGTACGATTTATATTTGTAGATAAAATACCTTCTCAGTCTCTTAACAATGTATTAAATTTAATTTTTTTACGTGGATATATTTTACTTTTAGTATTATCATATAAAATAATATGAGTAATGTTATAAATATGATATAATGAAACTACAATGTCCACATATATTTTTTGTAGTTAGTTGAAAGGTAACCGGATCACAGTATTGCTGTATACTCTTATAATATACGCAAGTTAAAAGTAAACATTAACGGAATATTAAGTAAATACAATACTGTATACAATTTACCATGTAAACATGACGAAGCACAGAAGCCGACAGTTAAATTAGTTTTTACTGTTTATGACCGCCGTATATTTTATATGTCATCGTCGGGCAACTCATACCACTTCCAGAATTGAGATCAACCACATTTTTACTTAAATCTCTTAAGCTACATATTGCCAACATCTAAAAACCAACCAATATATCTCTGGCGATCGGGTAAATAGGAGTAAAATATTATATTGTTTCGCATTTTTCAGTAAATATAATTAATTTATGTACTTAAGCAATTGATTTTTTAAATTATTACTAAACGACATCCGTCTAAAAGAATAAGACCAACAAAATAAGTACTAATAATAATTATATGCAGTACGTACCTAGATCACGGTTTTAAATCTTCAGACGGTCTACTTATTCATATTTCTTTGTCAACCAACATCCACGCTCCAAGTCTCCGAACTCCATTGAACTCGTTTAAGGTTCGGTTCTAATAAAAAAACTGAATTGAACGGAAATGAAATAACGCTAACCGGTTTTTCTCCGGTACGCTGTGAGGTGAGCTTGAGCCTTTTTTTGTCGTTAAGCCGTCGGCTCTTTTTACAATGGGCAAGTTTAACCATGATGGCATTGTCGTCCGGACGTTGAAGCTGTAATATTGGGACGTGGATTCAATTCTCACTATAACCGGCTCTACTAAAGACGGTAATACCGAAACGTTAGTAATCTTACTTTATTCTTATTAAACATAAAAAAATTGTTTGAATATTTGTTAATCGATTTCGCTTACAAATAGTTGTATATTTTTTAGTGTTTGGTAAGTATGGCAATACAATACTAACTTAATTAAACAAGCGAGCAATGTTGCAATTACGACAAATGTATTTAATATATGATCTTTACAGGTACAGTAAATATGTAAAAAATTCATTTAACGGCGTGCTATTGGTACTGTATTGTTTTATTTGTAAATAGAAGTATTGAAGCCTGGGGGAGCTATTTGCATTTGCAATACGTACAATTGTACACAGGTATATGTACCAAAAATTACAGTATTCGAATAATGTTCTATTTAGGTATTGATAAATATATAAAATAGGCATCTACTACAATGTCCTATAAAATTATTTTAATGTGTACATAAAGCGCTTCCTTTTGTTTTATGAAAATATTGACAATTATTCATCAAGACGAAAATAAAAACTTCCATTGATAGAAGATAACAGTTTAAGACGCATCATATTTTCTTCTTTTTCAACTAATATAATGGAAAACAAACAAAACTCATATCTAACTGTTACCCTAGAACGAATTATACCCGTTCAAAACATCTGAAATCGTATCTTTACATGAATTAGAATAGAATTATCTTTAATAACCTGCTGATCAAAACGCAATTACATGTTTTCCTAAAAACAGTATGCTGTCAATGCTAAATACCTCTTAAACTCAGTGGTTTATACAAAGTATATCCTATTTTGATCGAGGTATAAAATTATTAGACACTCATATATATGGTATGAATAGATTTATATGTATACTCATAGACAAAATCAGGTGATTAACAGTACTTAAATCACTAAATCGTGGCATGATTATGAATGTGAATAACCGTACAATAAAAGAAAGTACACACTCGAGTATTTATCTAAGGCATTATTATGAGTAATATATAGAAATTGGTAAATGTCACTGCTATTTAAAGATCACTACTTTTTCATAATTATTGTGGTAACATAAACTGTGCACATAATTAACACATGTCATGGGCAAATGTATAACTTACAAAAGTCTCTGTCTCTAGGACTATTTTGAACCTTCTCCTAATCAGTTCTAAGATGAAATTTATTAGTCCTTTCTATCTATTTATTGTACTTATCTTAACAAGTTGAATTTAGAGATTGCATTTATTATTTACACTAAAGAAATGGGATATTAAAGGACTACGATTTCATTTATTACATTATATGTTAATTAATGTGTGTTATAAATCGAATCTAAGACCGTATTTATACCAGAACATTAGATCATTTAGATCTTATTTAAATTACACATACATTAATTAAATCCGAATGATTAAATAAAACGTTTGTAGTAACCGTTTCATTCATTTCTAAGTAATATAATAAAATACTTACGCATTTATGAAGATTCTTCGCTGGTCCAACTTCTGATCCAATCGCGAGAAAAGGCGTCATTCTAACTAAGAAGATATTAAACAATATACCATTATTATAGATTTTCAGAAATTGAACAGATTATTTACTCAAAAAGGGAATCCTACCTCGAACAATAAAGCCTCATTAAATGTTGTACTTGTCCACATTTAGAATGTAAAGGAAATAATTCAAACAAAACATACATTTTCACAATCGCCTTATTTATTTTTTCTCCATTTTATTTCTATTACTCTTATTTTTTGAAACATAAAATTTACACATTTATTATCGTACATCAAATAACATTGATAGTGCAATACAATTACAGTAATATAGTAGTACATATATTACTTTCAGAGGGAATTGTACATATCTTTGGGTAGTTATTTTATTTGTAGATATAGTTAGTATGAGTGTGGCTCACACATTAGATATTTATTAATAACTTTATTATAATGTAACATCCTATTTGAATTTCAACAATCGAGATATATTTTATACTCAGTATTTAAATTATTTGGCGATCATAAACAATACCACTCCATATCACGTATTAATTTACATTTACATTCCTCAACTAATCAGTCGTAGATCCTTAACATTTGGATCCAATGTAACTTTCCATTACGTATTATTCTAAATAAATTATATGATACAAAAAATATTACACTAACAACCTGTGTAGGTATAGATTACATATACCGTACGTATAGATGAATCGTAGCTTACAATACAAATGTACAAGGTGACATGTCATCTAGATATGTTTTAATCAGTTCTTATATAGTCTAAACATCAGTAGCACAGCCGTCCTGAAAGCCCTCCTCAGTCGAGGGCCTGGTGATGGTAAGAACGCGTTTTAATGCCGACACTGGTGGAAGTACTGGGGGCGCCCTTTGCCAGACTCGCAGGGTGCGCGCGCCGCCCACTGGCAGGCCATAGTCTGGAGGGTATGGTGCATCGCTTGACGCTGCCGGCGTTGCCGACGTCACCGCATGAGACCTCGGAAACGTACGACTCATATAACCTAGTTCTTCTTGAGAACCATCCACGCTACAATTTTCAATGATCGGCGTTCGATCCGTATAGTACGCAGGTATAGCAGAGCTTACGGCCCGAGACATATTACTAGCCTGATTCATTTTCATTTGATCCCAAAGACCTGATGGGTACAATGAATCGGAAGCCTCGCGTGCGTATTCGCCACTCCCTGGTCGAGCGGCACTGTCTGGCCTCGTGTCATTGATAAGATCAGGGTCGATAGTCGCAGACACTGTTGGAGATACGACAACTGGTCCACCAGAAGTCACTATACTACCTCTTCCTTCATAGTGATTTGTAGTATATGGTATGTCATTGGCCCGTGGAGGTTTAGATACCGGATTACATTTTGTATCGTTGTAATTAGGGGCTTCTTGTCTATTAGCTAACACTGCAACATGTGGTCTGTCTGTGGTAACAGGATGTACTTCATTTCCAGACACGACTCGATCCAAAGTATTTGGAGTCTTGCTTTCACAAGCGGGTGCAGGGCGAAATCGAACAAAAGTTATCAAAAGAGCCAAGGAAATAACAATTACAACTAAAAACAAAGCCGCTCCCAAACTGGCTATTTGTGCGCTCCCCAAAGATGCCATGCCTACTGGTTTTTGCGTAACATGTACAGTAAAATTAGCTTCGGCATTTCCACCTTTATTATCGGCTACACAGTAAAATTCACTGGAGTCCGATTCTTGTGTATTAGTAAGAACCAAGGACGACCTTTTTCTTGAGTCGCCATCTTCAAATATATAAACCTTTTGATGCGAATTGAAATTGCTTCCGTTTTGAAGTAATCGCCCATTCCAATACCAATTAACGTTAGCACTTGGTATGGCTTCTGTTTTACATGTAATTGTTGCATTTTCTCCGACTCCGGCCTCAATGTGGCGGCTTATCGGTAATATTTCAGGTTTACAAGCGAACTCTTCTATTGGTAATTCCGAAAACGGTCGGTTCGCTAACCGCATCGGACCTGCACAAGTAGGCGTTGATAGTAGCTTATGTTTAGCCAGCCACATTTTAAGCTCACGCAATCGACAGTCACAAGTCCAAGGATTGTCGGATAAATCTATAGCTCGCAGTTTCTCTACTCTTTCTAAGGAAACCAGAGGTAAATCACGAAGCTTGTTATGATTTAACTTTAATGATTCTAATGACCGTAAATTTCTAAATGAGTCCGCTGCAATATCTCTAATGTCACATTTAGATAAATCAAGTTTCACTACACTGCCGAGGTTACTAAGAGCGTCGGAATGTACTTTAAGAATTGGATTTTGAGCCAATGTTAAATCTCTGAGAAAAGGAGCATCTTTAAAACTGTTAGAAGGTATTTGTGTGAGTAAATTATGGGAAAGATCTAATTCTACCAAATTTGTTAGACCTTTAAAAGCTCGGTCGTGTATTTGGCCTATATTACAATTTCGGAGATATACACGTTGCAAATTAACCAGGCCTGTTCTGGCGAAGGCTTCTTGAGGAAGGATTTGTAAGTTATTCCCTGATAAGTCAAGAACTTGAGTTGCAGGGTCAACAGGTTCTGGCACTGTGATAAGGGAACGTTCTATACACTCAACTGTCTGTTTACCCCCTTTCCATTTACACATACACACTGCAGGACAAGATCCAGCTGGTGCTACACCAGCTAAAGTCGTTTCCCATACCATCACACTCATTGTCACTATAAACCACCTCATATTGATGCCAATCCAACTTACGTTCTCGTAACTTTCACTGTAACATATCCGTCACACAATGTTCGACATTTAATACGTCACCTTTTCACATTTAATCCAAAAAGTCACAAAATGAATAATTTTAGTCACGCGGCGTATCTACATTTCGATATCGTATCACATCACTAATCGAGAAAGTTGGCGAGCGGTACATGTCGGCACGGCGCCTACCCGCGACGGCTGTAAATTAACTGAGAGGGAGGGATCGTCGTATCGTCTCAGTGGAAAGAGCTCGACACATGCGCGCTAGCGGCTCCCCTCACCCCTCTTTGCGGCTTCCCATCGGCTGCCGAGTTGAGTAGCCCTACTCGAAGCGAACTGTTGAAAGAATTCCAAAAGTGTAATTTTCTACCTGGCTGTGACCGCGACTGAACATCCCGCACACTAGGCCGTCACGTTCATTCATAAATACCTGAGCCGACAACGGCGGGGCAATAGTTTCAATACAGGCTTGAGAAGCAACAATACAATGCGCGCTAGGCTGCGGCACGCAAACCGCTCCGTTTGTTATACAATACAAAATATCTTTTTGTTGGGATCACGTTGGGACTGAGCGTCAGGTACAAGACTAATTATAAATAGTGGACTAAAAACGGAGACAGGTATACAGCAACAATAACACAGGATGTACGAAGAATACGACAATTTCATTCATAAATTTTAGGAATTAATGCAAATATTAATGGACATTTTAAAGTATATTTCATGTGAAGTAATTCGAATGCAAAACACTAAGTACTTTAAATTTTTATACATACAGGTATATAATAATTTAAATGTAAAGATGACTTATAAAGATACATAAATGAATAAATTGATACCAAATTAAATCTCAAATCAAAAAAATCAGTAGGAGAGGTCTTAAGCTCTGAATTGTTAATATAGGTATAGATATTATTTCATAACGACATTAACGACCCTAATTTCTATCAAGCAAGAAGTAATCCCTGTCCTCGAGGATGCTGGTAGGGGATATAGTAACGGAGACACACGATATTGTTTCTGTGTATATATCCTCTTAAGGTAGAACGTCGCACAACCCTCCTTCAAAACCTTCATGGTTAATTCCTGGTAAATTAATCACTATAGAATAAAGAAAATAATACCGCAGATAAGATAATATTACATAATAATACCATCTTGTTATGCTTCACTGGTAGCACAGATAAACTGTGTGCCATTTTATTCACAAATAACATCCCAAATTATTTAATATTAGCTATTAGTTTTCGTATATTGAATTTTATAGTTAAACCTTTTTTTATATCTACTCAACATATAGTTTAGGATTAACAACGTACAATATGTACGTAAATAGGAAAATTATGAAACAACAAACAACTCCTTCTTTTGATATCCGTTTTAATTTAAGTATCTTAACAATTAAAAATACATGACGTTCAATTAACTTCACTACAATTGTACCTACAAAACCGTTTACCCGTTTTCTCCAACGATTGATCTGAAGCATACATATACGAAACCATAAATAATAATAAATGTGTAGCGGTTTCCATACTGTTGGCACGCGGCTGACACACTCCACGGCATGTGTAGAGCCGCCAGCAGTCAGCTGGTCCCTGGCACCTGGTTACCGCAACCATACGCAACGCCGCGTGCTCCCTTCTGCCGTGCGCCCACCCGGCCTCATTAATACGGCTTCTATTCTAAATTTACTAACAATAACTTTGTCAATTAATATCAATATTAATCTCGTAATATTTTAGGAATTCACAAAAAAAAATCTTGCTTATATTAGGAATTGAAACAATATGGTTTAGACCTATGATTAAATTAAGTGTATAATAACTAGCATACGCAAAATAAGCAATCGAATAGGTAATCTAATAAAAATAATTGAATATTATTGTTGTAAGCTAGAAGATAAGATAGGATTTAATATGAATTTAATGTAGTACCTTGTACAATTTTATACTCTTTAGTATTCCGAGATACGTATTAGTAATACGGATCCCAGATATTTAAAGTAACAAAAACCAACTTATAAATTTATAACTATGTAAATATACAATACACGGAATTAAAACTAAATGTAAACAATCTTCTGCTCTTAATTTTGTTTAAATAAATATTTCTTTGTAATGAAAAAAAGAAAACATCTTTTACAAACATTCTTAATTATTACATTCAACAGTCGGATCATCTTAAAACTGATTGAAAGTTATTATGATAACATCTGGAGGGTACAACGAAATGTAAACGGAAGCTAAAATAATATAAACTTCATCAAAGACTCGGCTCAAAAAACATACTCCTGTTGTTTCTCTGATGCAAAGTCTCCTAAAAACAAATTCTTGATATTACAAAGATTCTTGTATACTTATATATACTTAGATATTATTTTAAAGATACTCAGTGATAATTGTATAAATCGAAGTATCATGTTATAATTAATTACAATGTTAGTTTATTGATTGTAAGAAGTCATTTAATTTCGTCAGTCTTTAGTCTTTATTTGAATATTACGATAAAATACTACTAATGTACCTAAACTTTAAAAAGCATTAGTTATTTATAGATACTCTTGTGTATTAAATACACCAAAAACGGCAAAGTGCAAGCTATACTCACACGCCAAGGGTTCCATGCTAATATTTAAACAGATTTCTTTTTTTTAAAAAAAGGTATACTTTTATACAATATTTAATGATATATATAGCTGATTAAATGCCAAAGGGCCACAGGACGTAAACGGTAAATTTTACAGGAGAGCTCTTAAAAATGTTCACTGTGATATTTTTACTTTTTTCCGAATCTATAAGTGGTATATCTATGTGTTAGCTCTAGTATCATGAAAAAAATAGTTTCAGTTATTTTTTTCGTCATGGCGCTTTAATCAGCGATATATTAAGTGAGAAATTATCAATACTGTTTTAAAAGATAGAGACTTCTTAATTTCACACGTTAATTTGTAATTTAAAGCCCGGTGACAGTCTGGCACTAGTAATCTGGTGGTAACTTTGTCCATCCAAATGGGTGGATAAAGTTACCACCATAAAAATTAAGTATGACAGTATGCGCGTTGAGATACATTTCAGTACACGTATTGTTGTAATAAAATATGCTATCCACCTTCAAGAAGAAAGACTACTGGCCGATGGAAGTGATATACCAGAGCTACTATGGCACACTGCCATAGTGAGTGTAGTAACCACAAAGATAATATTAATACTTTATTGTATATATATGTCGGAGTAGGAAAGCAGGAATACTTTTTAAAAAGCTGCAGAACCGTTGACCTATAATAGGATCATCGGTTCTACTAGTGGTAGTAGTTTAACATTACATTAAAATAATAAAAGAACAAGCGAAATTAGATTAGTTTATTATTATAATAATAATCTCTAAATATGATTATAGTCTATCTTTAATTTTATTTTATAACATAATACTTTTCTAATGTGATTATAATTACAAATCGATTCTACTAAAGTAACAAGAGTTTTCAACTTACTTCCACTCCGCTCGAGCACCGAACACAGAATGAATCTTATTCACAAGACCAGCCATGTGGTCAAATCGTGTTCCCTCCACCTTGAACGCGCGCTCAAGTCGGAAGGTGTCGATCGCCACAGTGCCGGAAGTAAAATACCATTTTTGCCTAAGGCTTATAATTAAACAATAATAAAGCGGCATAATTACTTAAATTACCGTCTAGTTATTCTAATAATATTAGCAATTAAATAAAGCCATAAACTTGTAATATTAATAAATTTGACTTACACTATTAACCGAATCATCCGGATGTTTTTCATGTTGATTTTAGTTAACAACTTAAATGAAAAATAATTGAACGTTACATTATTGTTAAAAATAACTTTTTGGTATTTAAATTTAAATCAAGATGATTGCATTATTTTCTTTTTAAAATGGTTACAAGATTTTATCAAAGTTTTAATTATTGTGAAGGAAATCCGCACGCAAATGGCGGACGTTACGCAACATCCGACATTCGCTCGACATAGATAAATTTATTTACAATTCACATAACAATTGCTTAATTCATAATAAATTTTAATATTTAATTTAGTTTTTACTATATTTAGTAATTTTAAATAACAAACATAAGTTATTAAAAAGGACTGATAATGACGCCATCTAGCGGCATTAATTGAAGCGATTATGCGTTGATATTAAGCCGCATGGTAGCTCCATCTATCGTCCTTATATTAAAGATGTAATGAATGTGATTCAGTTTCTATTAATGTTGATAATCAATATGGTAAATCAACAGCAGATGCGTCATTCATCTCCTTATTTTTATTTTGTGGGTTATAATGTAGCTGCGGCGACACGGCCATTCTGATGTGCAATGCGTGCTCTGCATTGCTCCATGTTACCTGGAAATAAAATAATTTTTCTGAGGCTTGGCACATTCAGGGTACCATTCAATCATTTAATGTAGAGAGCATACAGCCAAATTAGTAAGTAGAAGTAATAATAGTAATAATAGTAAGGTCAAAATTTATGACTGCTCATTCCACATGACAACAGTCGCAACTATAGTCAGAATATTCTTAATTAGTTAGTTATCATATCACGGCTCACTCCACGTGAAAGCAGTTATAAATGATAAGTTAGTTATGTAATTAGGTTTATATTAGTACTGTTCACTCCACGTGACCACAGTAGTCTTTTTTTTTTTTTGTTATTATTATTATTTTCTTTTTGCTTTGTTTTTTCGTTTTTTTTTTTTTTGTCTTTATTATTTTTTTTTTTTTTAGTTTTTTTTTTTTTTTTTTTTTTTTTTTTTTTTTTGGGAAGGATGTGACGGTGAAAGGTCGATGCTGTTTTCACAGAGGTCCTAAGGGATTGGGTAGGTCGATGCTGTGCTCTAGGCGGTCCTGAACGCCGCGGTACACAGAGGCATTTTATTCTTTTCGATAGGATTTCTTACTATTGGACGGCTCCACACGCCAATAGTAATTAATAATATTTGGCCAACTGTATTGCCAATCATAATATTTGGCTATTGTACGGCTCCACACGGCAATAGCATCTTTTGTATTAATAATTATATTGTTATTATTTTTTTTTTTTTTATTATTTTTTTTTTTTTTTTTTTTTTTTTTTTTTTTTTTTTTTTTTTTTTTTTTTTTTTTTTTTTTTTTTAGATTATATTAGGTTAATAGTTTTGCAACAAAAATAGAAATTACCAGATTTGAACAACGAGCTATTCGTCGTTTTTCAACA